CCCCCCCCCTCTCTCTACCCGCCTCTCATGCATATTTAGCTTATAAACCACATACGAGCATTATGAAGGATTGATTAATGTACAACGATAACAACAAACAAAGAACAACAACAAAACAACGATAACAATAGCAAAGCGACAACACAACATTGAAATAATGTGTTTGGCAATACGATGTTATCATGATTTGAGCCCTAAATTCAACTGAGTATAGACGAAGCTCTCGGAAAGTGTACCGGCAACATTTTTTTTCAATGAATAATTTCAATAAAATTGTGAAAGGAAGAGGGGCTGTTTGTCTATTTTTTAACTGGTGAGCTGCTACATAAATGTATTTAATATTCACAGCAGCAGAAGAGGAAGAAAAAGCGGCGATCTGAAAAACCAAAGCACCAGGACAACAACAAATTATTTGTTGACGACCAGTCAGTATGGGTAGGCTATGTTTATGTTCAGTTATTTTACGGCTACATGCTTTGTTTGTCGGCAGGGCCAGACAGCTTAGACTATAACATGACCCAGTGACAGGTGTCCCTGACCCTGCTGACTTGAGAATCTAATCTCGGTCTCGCCTAGAATCTTGCTCAATTCACTTTCACTTTCAGTTTCACTTTTGTTCAAAGATTCGTCTTCTGGTTCTTCTGCACTTGGGCTGGGGCTCTTTGGAAATTGCCTTCTCGTTTTTTTAAAGAAGCAGAAGTGATTGTCAAGGACGAAAGTGGCCATGTAGGCTAATTGAACCCTCGTTTGCCAGTAATATTTGTCGGCGCTTTTTCGGTAGTTCCCACCCCGCAATTGTTATTCACGGGTTTTCGCCCCAAGGAAGGCTGACGTCACCACTGGGCGGGCACTGTTCGAAAAGGCCTTGCGCAGATAAGTTTCACATTGTGACAAGGGCAATTTACATACGAGCCGGAGTGATAAACAAAGATGACGGAACGAGTCTCTGTAGTGCGACAACACACCAGAGAACCATTATTGTCTCTCAGAGCGCCTTCAAATCGGCCGAGTGCTATCTGAACGTTGATTAGATATTAATGTGTATTTACTTGAAACTAGAATCTAAATAAAAATATTTGTCAGCTATCAATCTCTTGTCCACTGTACAGCCGACAAAAAGTGACCGGCGCCGCCGCTCATGCCCATTGAAACAACCGCGCCTGCCCTTAGGCCTCCTAACAGTAACATTAGCCTTACTCTCAAAGACCAAGTAACTTTTGATAAAGTAAGTCAGCCTATTTCAGTCAGGTCCTCCAAGTTACCCCGTAAATCTGACACCACAGCGCACAGAATTATCATAGAGGCTAATGTTCAGTTCAGTCATGTCTGGAAGGAAGGACTTCCACAACAAGCGACCACTCTAACAAACACAATGAAGAAGGGGCCAAGGGCCAAGACCTACCCCTACCCCTGCCCCTAGCGCTACACATAACCAGGTTAATTTTTACAAATGCACCCGCATGCAAGAGCACTGTTTTTGGTGGCCTGACTAACGTTTTTTGGGTGCTGAAAATGAATATATTATAAATGGCCATGAAGATTTCCGCAAATCTGTGGTTTAAGAGAAAATGTTATATAATATTGCACAAGAAAAATAATGGGCAAATGA